AGAAACCATTGCCAAACACAAGGTCATGAAGACTTTTCCCTCTCTTCTCCTAAGGGTTTTTTAATTTTCATTCTTAGATTTAGAGGGTTTGATGCATTTTGAGTTAAGCTTCATATACGATAAAAAGGCCCAATTTCATTCTTTTCCAGGTAGCTATCTAGTTTTCATAATACTGTTTATGTAATGAGGAAAAGTTACTTGTTAATAATTAAGATGCTATCAATGCTCTATGTTCATTTCAAAAGCTAGCAATTCACAAACACTGACTAAATTTTTTAGGTAATCTAAGATTTTGATGTGGGAGATGGCATCCTCTTTTTATTTAAAAAAAAACACTTGGGCACAGGGAAGGAAACCATCAACAAAATGAAAAGGTAACCTACTGAATGGGAGAAAAATATTTCCAAGTGATATACTTGATGAGGGTTTCATATGTAAAACACATAAAAGAACTGATACAACTCAGTAAAAAAAAAAATTAAAAAAAAAACAAGTAACACAATTAAAAAATATACAAAGGACCTGTACAGACATTTTTCCAGAGAAAACATAAATGGCCAACAGACACATGAAAAGATGCTCAATATCACTAATCAGCAAGGAAATACAAATCAAAACCATAATGAAAATTAATGAAAATCAAAACCATAACCTTACACCTGTCAGAATGACTAGTCTCAAAAAGATAAGAAATAACAAGTGTGGGCAAGGATATGAGAAAACAGAGCCATTGTGCATTACTGGTGGGAACGTAAATTGGTACAACACTATAGAAAACAGTATGGAGATTTCTCAAAAAATGCAATCCTATCCAAAGAAAACAAAAACACTAATTAAAAAAAATGTATGTACCCCTATGTTCACTGCAGCATTATTTACAATCACCAAGATATGGAAGCAACCTAAGTGTCTATCGACAGATGAATAAAGAAGATGTGGTGCACATATAAACAATGGACTATTACTCAGCCATAAAAAATAAAATTTTGCCATTTGTGACAACATAGGTGGACCCGGAGGATATTATGCTAAGTGAAGTAAGTCAGAGAAAGACAAATGCTATATAATTTCACTCATATGTGGAATCTAAATATCAAAACAAACTAAACAAATAAAAAGTGACTCATAGATACTGAGAACAAACTAGTGGTTGCCAGAAGGGAGGGAGTTGGGGGAATGGGAGAAACTGGTGAAGGGGATTAAGTGGTACAAACAGCCAATTATATAACAAACAAGTCATGGGGATGTGATGCACAGCAAGGGAATACAGTCAATAATATTGTAATAACTTTGTATAGTGACAGATGGTAACCAGACCTACCAAGGTGATATAAAATATAGAAAGAATCACTATGTTATATACCTGAAGCTAATATAATATTGAATTTCAATTACAAGTCAATTTTTAAAAAAGGAGTAATAGTGAAAAAAACAAAACCCACAGAAACAACCCCAAAGTCATCAACTGATGAATGGATAAACAACAGTGGTAGATTCAAAAAATGGAATATTATTCAGGCATAAAATATATCCAAATACTGATACCTACTATAATATGGAAGAAGCTTTAAAACATTTTGCTAAATGAAAGAAGCCAATCACAAAGACCACGTAATATGTGATTTTATAAAAAGTTCAGAACAAGCAAATCTATAGAGATGCAGTATAGATTAGTGGTTGTTTAAGGCTGCACGGGGTAGGAGAACCAGCAAATAGGTAGGTGATAGCTAAATGGCACAGTATTTCTTTGCGGGGGGTTAAATGAAAATCTTCTAAAATTGATGTTGGTGATTGTTATAAAACACTGTGGATAGACTAAAAACCATTCAATTGCATACTCTGGGTCAAATATATGGTATAGGGGTTATATCTCAATAAAACTGCTTTAAAAGAATGTTTTTTTTCTTACTTCAAAAGTGATAGATGTTCATTATCAAATTTAGATTAATAAAGGAAAACAAATAGGAGAAAATAAAAACAAACATTAAGGAAAAAACACAACATATATTTATGTCAAGTATTCTGTAACATCATTTTTTTTTTTTTTTAAGATTTTATTTGACAGAGAGAGAGATCACAAGTAGGTAGAGAGGCAGGCAGAGAGAGGAGGAAGCAGGCTCCCTGCTGAGCAGAGAGCCCGATGCGGGACTCGATCTCAGGACCCTGAGATCATGACCTGAGCCAAAAGCAGAGAGGCTTAACCCACTGAGCCACCCAGGTGCCCCTGTAACATAATTTTTAATGGCTGCATAGTATATTGCCACTGAAGGTGCAATAATTTACTTAACCAAATCTCTTTCATAGGTACAGTGTCCAGGCAGTAGGCACTAGACACAAGCAGTTATTAATTAAAAGTAAATAAAATTTAACATGGAGTTCTACAACTGCACCAACATTTCCAATGCTCAACACCATATGTGGTTAGTGACACTTGTACCGACAGCACAGATACAGAACATTTTCCTCATCACAGAAAGTTCTATCGGACAAGACTGCTTTAGAATGTTTCCAAAGTATTCCTGTTATAAAAAACTTCAAAGGTACAGTACATAAACTTTTTATACATACAGTGCAAATTCCTTTGGAGTAAATACCTAGAAATGAGTCACGGGTTCAAATGGCATACAAATTTTCACCCCCTTTGAAGCTCTGGATACAGGGATGTGTCCAATCCCTTACTAATTTAATAGATAAAGAGTAGTGTCTTCTGTTTAAAAGCTGCATTGAGAATCATTATGTTGTAAACCTGAAACTAATACAGATGATCCTTGAACAACATGGGTTTGAACTGCATCGTCCCCTTACACGCAGATTTTTTCAACAAGGTCTAATACTATAAATGTATTTTCTATTCCTCATGATTTTTTTTTTAAGATTTTATTTATTTATTTGACAGACAGAGATCACAAGTAGGCAGAGGCAGGCAGAGAGTTATATGCAGATTTTCTACTGTGCAGGTGGTCAGTGCCCCAACCCCCGCACATTGTTCAACTGTTGTATAATAGGTCAACTGTATTATACTGTTGTGCTGTATGTCAACTACACCTCTATAAAATAATCAAATAAAAGCTGCACTGATTTGATTAGGGTGGTGGTGAAGTGGAATAAGAGAGGGACAAAGATCTCCGGTGACCAGTCTATGGAGACGCTACCAAAAGGATACCAAAGATGGCAGTGTTTGCACATGCTACTACAGTGGCACAGCACCGGTTTGTACAGAAAGTGGGTGGTACCACATTACACTGCCTCCATGTACTGTTTATCTTCAGTAAGACCACTTTCAGGGTTAAAAATGAACATATGCTTTTTTCCATTTATGTCTGTTTTTTTCCATGAACCAACTTTTCTCAGTGTATTGCTCTACTGAGATGATAATCTTTTTTCTTATGATCTTATAAGAGTTCTTGAGAGAGGATATAAAAACTCTGTTTTCCAAATACATTCAAATGTATTTCCTTAGCTAGTTATTTGCCTTTGTTATGAAATTTAAGAGGTAAATGTTTATATATAGTAAAAACTGATAATCTTTTTCTTTATGGAGAGGGCTTTCCTGATTATTAAAAAAAAACACTTTTTAAGTATTTTCATACCTTTTTTACAGTTAAACTTAAGTTTTACCTCATAGAATATACACTGGCATATGACATAAAGACCAAATATAATTTTTTCCTGTTAGAATATTCACAAATCTTAATAAAACTCTAGGGGGTGAAGTATATAATAAAATTCACCCAAATTACTAAGCAGACATCCTTATCTAGAATAAGAAAAGTATATTTTTATATTTTAGAAATGCTGCTCTTGGGCTTTGGTTTTTTCCCAAGTATCATTTTCACCCAGTCTAGGCACAGCTCTTATATTTTCCTCAAAATAAAGAGAAAAATAAGCTGTATGTAAAGAATTTCAAAAAAGTATATAAGAGGAGCCAAAGATTGAGATCTATTCCCAGGTCCATGAAAGACATAACTGTATTGACCAAACTGCTTTCCTTTCACAAAATAAAGAACAACTTCCTTGAGAGGAGCCCCTAATTCCATGACAAATGTTTTCCTCCTCTTAGTAGCAACATCAGCATAATTTCTCACTGACAGATTAACTGACTGTTATTTTTACCACTTTTTTACTATTTCATCATGTTTTTATTAGTCTCAAAAATAACTGAAACATGTTACACCTTCTAGTTTTTCTTCCAGTTCTCCTATCTTTTAAGAGAGAATACTATTCATAAACCCCTATTTTATTTCAATTCTTTACATTCCATATTTCTTAATAAATATGTTATTTTTAAAAAATCTATTCCTTTAAAGATCAATTCTAAAGCTCTAGTAAGAAGATCACCCTCTCCCCAAACAAAACACTTTCTCCTCACAGAGGAAAGTCACTTCTGTCAGTCTCACATCACAACTGTCGCATGCCTCTACCATAACATCTACCACATCTTATTCTAACTACATTTAACTGTGTCTGCTTACCCTTCTAGCCTATGAGCTCCCTGAAATTCCACCAAGTTCTATATGATCTTTCCCGATCTCCACTTTCATCCATAAACTTAGCACGGAGCCTGATAAATAAAACCTGATATCCTCTGTGAAAATGACGGAACAAAGCTTGCCCAAGAGCAACTGCCCTCCCTTTTAATCATTTGTTCTTCAGATTCCTTTAATAAATACCTATCCCAAGCACGCTCTTATATACATGAAGATATGTTTTATAAATAGGGGCAACCCTCTGCAAAGACCGCACTATATTTTAACAAAGTACTTATACATACATGAAATAAAATACCACTTGTGACACAGGTTATTCCTGTTTGCATTTACAGGTAGAAAACTGAAGCTATAGAAAGATGAGAAATTTGTCAAAGGTAACAGCACTAGCAGACCACAGGGTTTGATGCTGAGGAATTCTAGCCCTTCGTGTAGTGTACTTTTCACCACATCAAGAAAGTTTTCAGATGAATAATCTTTTAACATAGCATCAGCTGTATAAGAAATACTTACATTGACCCCAGCGACCTGTTCTTGGGTTCAAATAATTTGGATAAAGACCATTCGGACGATCCATCTTCTGAAGTAGTTTCCGAATGTGCATTACCTTAACACAAATAAAGAATGCAATTAATAAAATAAATGTCATCAAGGCTTTATAGTAACCTAAGCTTTGTGGGTTTTCCTCACTCAGAAGCTACACCATCTCCCCCCTGCTTTTTTCTGTGTGTGGTCAGGAAAGTCTTCTACTTTATAACTGATTCATTATTTTTATAAGATTATATATGACCATTAATTAAAGATCAAGCAACAATTAAAAACATGAAGAAAAGAGCATGGGAAAAACCAATTTAATGCCAACATTTCACCATCCAGAAATAGCCATCAGAAACATCAGTGATAAACATCATTCCAGACATATTCACTATGTACACATCTAAATATAAGAACAGAAATAATTTCATAGAAATGGAAACATAAAATGACATAGTAAACTAAACTGCTGAACTCTATTGATTCCACAAAAGCTATCCCTGAATTCCTAAAATCCCAAAATTTCTGATCCCTAAAAGATCTTCCTAATACTAAAAAGGGAAAAAAAAATCATAGAAAAAAAATGATAAAATATACTAAAAAGCTGGAAACTTTTCCAAGGACTTTATCTGCATTCATCTATAGATTGGATGGATTTTGTCAGTGCTTACCAAAAAAGGCACAAATGTATTCTATTCCTGGTATTCTTATTTGAGAATGTTCTCTTTACATCTGAAAGATAACCTGCTTGGTATCCATGTCTTGGAGAAATAATCTACTTCACTATTTTGGGGGCTGGAACACAGCACGCATCCTTTGACGACAATGTCCCAGTCATCTCTCCTTTGGCTGGACTTTGAATTGAGGCGGTTTTAGGAACGGGCTCAGGGATGCTGTGTCCCCCCTGTTCTTTCAAGGCTGAGACCAGCTCTATGTACAACAGTCTCAATCTGAGTAATTCCATGAACCAAGGTTAATCAGTTTGAACTGATGCTAAGAAAAATGAAAAATTGCACTCTTTTGTCTTCTAAAAATTATCCACACGTTGAATCCTCCGTACCTCTTCCACATCTAACATTTCTTCTCAGAATCTTTCTATCCAACTCTTTTCTAAAGTCTGTATCTCTACTAGCTTGTCTTGATTTGGTCTTCTAAGTCCATCACTGTATTTTCAACACCTCCTTTGTATTGCTTCCAATTTGGCCTTCATTTTTGGTGATAACTTTCTCTTGTAATTTGTTACTGATAGCACATCTTACTGTATCTGAGCACTTGTATTTCTGCTCATATACTTGATTTACAGAGAGGAGGGCTCTATTATCTTCCCCCTCATGGTGATGTTTGGTCAGGATTTAACTATTTTCTGAGAGGTATTTTTTTGTTATTACTTACATATCATGTTCCTTCCCTCTTTTTTTCTGATAATATCTTTGTATAAATCGTACACTTGTTCTTTTTTGATGAATTACTCACTATTTTTCCTGAACCAGCTAGTCACACAAACGTTTTGACATAAAAGCCCAAGGAGAGTCAAGATGCCTTGCTTCTCCCCAGATAACTGACACTAGCCATGCAGCACTGCTCATAAAAGAAAATCTGTCACTCATTCTCTTCCCTCACCAAAATTTCTTCAGAATTCTTTTATCCCAGCTTCTCAACATACCACATGTTTAGTGAGGTCCAAAAAAGTACCATCATCAGCCCACAACACTACTCGCAGTGTTGCTCATGAGGACTATGATTTTGTACCTCAAGACATATCACTTATTTCAGAGAACTGTACTCTCTTTTTATTTTTGAAATCTATGGCCAAAAATAACCTCTCTTATTTCCCAAACCTCGCTATTGATGGGCTATGCCATTGATGGCTTGCTGGCTTGTGCCAATCCTTCTTGCTATTTTGTGATGTGATAGACCAAGTATCCCTTAATTTTGTTAAAAATAGAGTTTGCAGTTCTGTTTCTCCTTCCTATCACTTTCTGGGGATTCCTGTGTGTCAGGTCCTCCACTTCAGAAATACTGTGCTAGATCATCTTCACTTTGCAAATGTATCACCCTTTCAAACTCTTTATGCTCTTCTTTGTTTCCACCATGATTGTCTCTTGCTTTTATTCCATGTCAGTAAATTGGTTTTCAATCACGTATAGTCACTTTTGCTGTTTTCCATTTATGTATTCATTATAGAAACACAACGTTTAAGGTCTCAATTTCTTTCTTCAGTTCCACAATATGTTTGTATCATTTTATGATTTGTTTTGATTTCTAATTTTACTGAGCTCAATTGCTATTATTGTATAAATTACTCATGGTGACTTTATACAATTCGAAATGGGATTCTTTTACATGCTATTTACCACCATGCTTTTGTTACCTCCAAGCTGCTGTACTGTTTGCGTACTTCCAATGTTTTCCCTTTTCATCCTGCTCACAATGAACAGGGTCGGTTCTGACCTAGACTTTGATTTGATATGGCACAGCTGTACTGAACTGTCCCTGAATTCCTTCCTACTGTTTGTCTGGGGAGAGAGAGGTATTCCTCCCCCCGCTGGACACAATTTGAGATCTGGAGTACTAGTGTTCAAGAAGGATAGAGGTGAGAAGCCCCACCCCCACCCCACCTGAGCTGTGGACAGTCATGTACTCAACAAACCCTGGCACTGATCTCCTCTGTGAGATTAATGGGGAGTACCAAGAATTTGTTGACTTGCTTTCTTGGCCCAGTAACGATTCGGTGAGAAACAGACTTAAGTACCATACCAGAAATCTTTTACTTTCTTTTTTTTTGGGGGGGGTGGCTGTCACATACTAGTGACATGAGACTGCAGCCTTTCCTCCTTTCATTGCTGTTGATAAATTTTTGCTGGTTTTTATTTACTGTTTTTGTTGTTACTGTTCATCTCATCAGGGAAGGAAAAACTCTTTGGTCAGGCTCCACTGCTGTCTTTACCTGAAAATTATTCTCAAAGGAAGAAATAGTTCATACATAGAAAAGACTATATATAGATTCTACTCACATCCCACTTTAATACAACACTACAAACACCTTTGCTGCTCTGCTTATACATTCACACATCACTGTCTTTGTCTTGGCTATATTCACAGTCCTCAATTTTATGTCCACCATTGTCTTAACTCTACTGAAGTCACTTCTGAATCCCTAAACAAAGTATATTATTCAGCTCTGCTTGTGTTGAATTTTTTTAAAAGTTGTATCCTATTTTTTTTTCTTTTTTTAAGAAGGAGAGAGAGAGATGTGCAGGGGAGGGCTAGAGAGAGACGGAGAGAGAACCTTAAGCAGACTCCCATGTCCAGTGCAGAGCCCAATTCAGGGCTCAATCTCCTAACCCTGAGATCATGATGTGGGCTGAGATCAAGAGTCGGATGCTCAACTGACTGAGTCACCCAGGAACCCAGTATATTATTTTAACTGATAAATGTAACTATAATTCCTTCATTTAACTGCTGTATTGAATTTTATTATATAAAATACTAATACAAACAATGCTTCTATGTATATAATATAAATGCACACATCAAAGAGTAGAACTGCTGGGCCATAGGGCATATGTATTTTAAACTGTACTACATTTGTCTTTTAAATATAGGCCTTTAATGCTCTTAGAATTGTTAGAATCCACAATGCTACCCTTGTCATAATGGTTGCATGTAAGATCTACTTACGGAATGTCTATTCCGTTCATCAGTCTGTCTGTCTTATGCACCAATAATTCACTGTGAGTGTTGGAAACTGGGTAATACAAACCCACTCCACATGTTTTTCTTCAGGAGTGCCTTGAAATTTTTCTCTTCTATATAAATTCTACAACAGTCTTGTCAAGTTTCATTTTTGTAAAAGAAGCCACTGGGTTTTGACTGCCATTGAATTGATGCCATAGATCTATCTGGATAAAACTAAAATTTTTATGATATTCCTTAGCTCTATGGGAACATAACATATCTCTCTGCTTACTTAGGTCCTCCTCAGTGTCATTTAATTGTTTTGAACTTCATTCATCTTTTGTCAAGTTTATTTGTAGGAAACATAAACTCTTGTTTCAACCACATGTTTTTGTAAAGTGATACTTTCTTGCTGGTTGTAGCTGGTGCAGAGAAATGCTGTTGATGTTTCGTATTTACATTGGTCTTTTATTCAGAACTACATATATGTTCTTATTTCTAATAATTTAAATACAGATTATCTTAATATTTTAGATAAATAATCATGTAATCTATGCATAATTACTCTTTCCTTTCTTCCTTTTCAATCCAATTCAATTCTTTAACTTCTTGCTCATTTTGTTTTTCTTGTCTTACCATGCAGGCTAGGAACACTGCAGCACAATGCTGAACAGAATGGAATTTTTGAAAACCCACTAATGATTACAACTTCTCAGACAAAAGTAAATATTTTAAACGGGAAGGACATTTCTTTAGATAATTTAAAAAGAAAAAAACGGGAAGCCAAAGTCCTGATAAAGACATTTCTAGAAAGGTAAAATTTTCTGAGCATTAATCAAGTCTCTTGGCAAATCTTAAAGAACTCTTTTATAACAAACACAGAAAAGAAGGCAAGAAGACCAACCTTTTTGTAGTAAACTGGGTCCCCTGTCAAGTAGCTGAGGTGGACAAACTCCATGTGCAGTGTACCAAATTCAGCAAGAATGCTGCTACCCGCAGATGCCCAGCCCCAGTTTCGCCCTACTCCACTGAATGAAAGCAAAGGTAAAAGGAGACAGAATAGGAAAAAGACCATTTTTTTAATGAATACATATACTTTCATTCTCTTAATTATACTTAACACAACAGCTTATTTGTAGCTAATGGCTTATTTTATTACTTAAAAATTTTTTGAATAGGTAATGTTTTAAATATCAAAACAATATAGAAAAGTATATACAGTAAATAAATTTTACCCCAGAAATCACATCTCTCCTCATCCCACCAGACCCCACAGATAATCACTTTCATTGGTTTCTTATGTATTACTACAGAAATTTTATGCACACATAAGCAATCCAAATAATATTTTTTTCCTTTATTAAACAGAATACAGCAAAGTACACATACAGCTCGTTATCCTGCCTTTTACTCTTAAGATGCACTGCAGTGGACTTTCTGGATCAGTTCATAAATGATTTCCTTTTTCACAGCTGCACAGAATTCCATGATATTAATGATTTTCAACTGGAATGCCCCAACCCAGGGGTATATGAAAGTGTGTGTGTGAGAGCATTCCAAGTTGTATCAAACCTTGAAGGTGCAATTAGTATTTATTATGCTAGGGCCAAAGATGTAACATGTCCAACAATGGTCAGCACAGTGTCACACAATAAAGAACTGTCCTGCCCCACGTGCTGATAGGACCTGTGTAAAAAATTAAGTAAATTATGAACCAACATAATTATCAATCATCTGCTGGTGGTCCTTCTGAATTTTTCTAATATTCTGCTATTAATAACAACTTCCACAGTGAATAATTTTATGTACATTTCTTTTGTGTAGATATATCTCTAGGGTATTTTCCTGCCTTTTTCAGCCTGCCTCATAATTTATTGGAAGCTATACAATATAAGTGAAAAAGCATAGACCCTTTGAGCATTACACCCTTTCTAAAGGTTAAGTTTCTTCTGAAACACAGGGCGAGTACACAGGGTGAGTACAGGCAGACTACTCAGATGTCAGGCTTTGCTAAGGGTAGTCTACTTCCATTTCACCTGCTACTTCTAGGGAGTTCCCTCTGGGATCTCAGCTGGAAGCCTGAGGTGTTCCCAAGGGCCCTTCACCTTTGCAGCCTTAAACACTAACTTCTGCCTTCCCTGTACCATGTGGTTGTTAATTTTTTTTTCCTTGACTCTTGCCCTATGCATGTAAAACTGTAGAAACAGTCAACAACTTGAGGGAAATTTGTACATAAATCACTGGGCTATTCTCCTCTGCAATTTCCTCCCGCCTTGAGATTTTTGTCCCTCATGCCTCAGCCACTCTTGCAACTCTTAAGACCTGACCATAGTGCCCTCTGACCCAAATAACCACCACTTCAGGCTTGGCCTTTATGCTTGCATCATGATTTGGAACATGCTCTCAGGGAAAAGGCCAATGTTTATATGGAGACAATGCTCTCCTAGGAAGTTCTATCTGAGTTAGTTGCTCTCCAAGACCACTGAACCATTTTGTCTAGCTTCTATGATTGGTTTTGGTAGGAGGATTGGTCTGATACAAGGTATTCCATGGTTGGAACTGGAAGTCTAGATTAATTTTTCAAGTAGCATAGTTCATGGGTTATTCCTATGAGAGCTCTAAACCATTCTTCAGGGTCTTTTCTACTTTTAGGAGGAAGTAAAAATATAAGTCTTTCTCTTATTTTATATCCACTTGTATACTGCCAATTCAGTACACCATTATTATTTATCTATCTTGAGAAAACATTAAAATAGATATTAAGACACTACTACCTTGCTTAAAGTTCTTTAATTGGTTGGTGCTAATTTTACATTGTCTTTGAAAATATGATAGGAAGGCAAATACCACACACAGATTCTTTTGTAGCTAGAAGTCAGAATCAAGGAAGAAATATGGATACAGTAACTATACAGTCATTCATTTCCAAATATTAAGAGCCTAGGGGCACCTGGGTGGCTCAGTGGGTTAAGCCTCTGCCTTTGGCTTGGGTCATGGTCTCGGGGTCCTGGGATGGAGGCCCACATCGGGCTCTGTGCTCAGCAGGGAGCCTGCTTCCCCCTCTCCCTCTGCCTGCCTCTCTGCCTACTTGTCAACTCTCTCTCTGTCAAATAAACAAATAAATAATAAAATAAAAAATCAAGAGCCTATCATGCTCTGGGAGATACAGTAGTGAACCTGACCTAGAACATTCCTACTCCTAAACTAAATAAAACCATTTGAAATAGTGATAATTGTTATGAAGAAATTTTACTAGAGAAATAGAACATTAAGCACTAGTGACAGAAGTTAAAAGAAAGGCTCTTTATGTATAACAGAGAAATTGTTTCTGAAATGACACAATTTGCGCTGAAATCTACATTAAGAGAAGGAGCCAGTGATGAATAGCTCTGGAAGAAGAGCATTTCCAGTAGAGGAAACAACAAATGCAATGACCCTGAGGAAAAGGAAGGTGGCTGATGTGGCTACAGAGCAGGAAGGGGAAGTGAATGATAGAGGATGAGGTTAGAGGGCTAGGTATAATTTAAACTACACGAGAATTCTGTAAGGCCATGCTAAATTTAAACCATTTTTATTCTAAGTGTGATGGAAAGTCACGGGGAATTTTAAGAAACGTAACATCGTATTTAAGGAAGAAAGCATACTATTTAGAAAGATTACAAAGGCATCGGCATGATGAATGGATTACAGTGTGGTCAAGTATAAACACGAAGTCCCTAGGAAGTCCAACAGCTTACCCTTCCCTATAAAAACTTCCTGTCCGAAGGTCCCAAAGGAAAGTTTCATTCAAAGTACCTTTAAACAGTTTTCAAAACACTAAATGCTAAACAAGATTTTTCATGTACTTCAGACACAACTCACAGAAACAATCTAAAATGTTAAATTTGATACCTGTCTACATTTCAACAACTCGGAAAAATAAAAAAAAATCCCTAAGAAGAAGATATAACACTGATGAGAACAGAACAGCTCCAACGATACAAAGGTGAGGAGGTGACAAAAACAACCAGATCATAATTCCATGCAAATGGTGTAATTTTTAACTGATCAAAAATAAAAAGTATAGATATTAAAATGTACACATATACAAGCATGATCTCTCTTGACTGACCACCAGCAAGTGGATTTTAGAAATGTTTGAAAAACTCCTGGTGATTTACAAGACAAATCAACCTAAGTGTCCTACACTGTATTTTTTTTTTTTATAATGAGTTATCTATACATTGTTTTTATTTTCCTCAAAGTCTGTTGAAAATCTCTAATGGATGAATTCAAGGAATAAAGTAAAGTTTTCAGTATACTGCAGTTATTAAAAACAAAGCACACGAAAAGGCTGACATTGATGTTTATCTCAGAAAAAGCAAAGAGGGAAATAAAAAACTAAATGACAAAACTTCAAACAATTTTAATTCTTAAATGGGAATATCTTGACTTAGAGGAAGACTCTTGACAGAGCTCCTATTTTTAATTAGATATATACTTCAGTGGAAAAAAATTGAGACCACCTATGATTTTGCATCAGCTCAATTGGAAGAAATACTGAAGTAAATTAAAAATAGAAGTTTGAGAGGCACCTGGGTGGCTCAGTAGTTAAGTGTCTGCCTTCTGCCCAGGTCATGGACCCAGGGTCGTAGGACTGAGACCCACATAGGGCTCTCTGCTCAGCACGGAGCCTGCTTCTCCCTCTCCTTCTGCCTGTCCCCCAATACTCATGTTGTCTCTCTCTCGCTCTCTTTAAAAAAAAAAAAAAAAAAAAAACTTAAAAAAAAATAGAAGTTTCACACCAAAAACAAAAAACCTCCAAATAATTCAATTAAAAAAATGAGCAGAGGACCTGAAGAGACACTTTCCAAAGGAAATATAATGATAACAACATGAAAAGATGCTCAGCATCACTGATCAACATGAAAATCAAAACCACAATAAGGTATCACCTCACACCTGTCAGAATGGCTAAAACCAAAGACACAAGATATAACAAGTTTTGACAAGGATGTGAAGCAAGAGGAACCCTTGTGCACCATTGGTGGGAATGCAAACTGGTGCAGCCACTGTGGAAACAGTATGAAGGTTCCTCAAAAAGTTAAAAATAGAGGTACCCTGTGATCCAGTAATTCTACTACCAGGTATTCACCCCAAAAATAGAAACATTAATTCAAAAAGATATGTGCATCCCCTATGCCTACTGCAGCATTATTTGCAATAGCTAATATAGGGAAGCAACCCAAGTGTCCATTGATAGATGAATGTATAAACAAAATGTGGTATATATATACAATGGAATATTACTCAGCCATCAAAAAGAATGAAATCTTGCCATTTGCAACAACATAGATGGAGCTAGCATGTATTATCCTAAGTGAAATTATGTCAGTCAGAGAAAAACACCACATGATTTCACTCATATGTGGAATTTAAGAAACAAAACAAATGAACAAAGAAAAGATGAGACAAAAAACAAAAACTCTTAAATAAACAAACTGGTAGCTGCCAGAGGAGAGGTGGGTGGGCAGGTGGGTTGATGAGCACAAAGAAATGTATAGAACTGCTGAGTCATTATACCTGCAACTAACAATGTATGCTGATTATACTTGAGTGAAAAAAACCCAGGAATTTTATGTAGAATGTACTCTGAATGAAAGCAAGAGAATGGCATTTGTGAAAATACCCAGTCAAAATATTAGCAAAATCTCCTCCAGTCCCGTCCATGTTGATGTTGCCCCCCCCCTTTTTTTTAACATAGCCCCTCAGCCAACCCTAGGATCTGGTTTATTTTCCTTTTCAAAGAAACACACTGAGGTATAATTTAATACAAAAATGCATCAATTCAAGCACACAGTTTCAAGGGTTTTGAGAAATGAATGTACTGGTATAAGAATTAAGCCAATCTCCAAAACCTGTCCTCATGCACCTTTTCAGTCAAATCATACTTCTCCTCCACCCAGTCTCAATCTACTTTCTCTATTACTAGTTTTGTATGTTCTAGAATTTCATGTGAACATAATCACACAATATATACTCTTTTGCA